CAAGTCTCTATAATGTTCCTATCAAAACTTATTCAAAAAATAGTGAAGAATAATATACTTTGAAATGGATAATAGAAGATTTGTTAAAGTATGTGATACAAAAGTTTGCCTTCTTCTTCAATCACATACCATGAGATTCTTTTTGGAGATTTAGTTCTAATATTTTTTATATGTATAATTCAATTCCTACTTTAAAAAGTTTTTGAAAGGTAGATAATAAAATCGATTTATACTAAATAAAAATTGTGGCTATTTTAGTCTACAAGCTGCATCTGTCTGATTTACGACGATTTATGAAGTTATTATACCTAGGATATCTCGATCTGTCATGCTCCAATAGAATATATTGTCTAAAGATGAGACAAGTGACATCATGTTGAGTGCATCATTAGCTTAATGATGGACAAAAGCAAGACTGAGTAAAAAAAATATTATAATGAGTCACAGTGATTTTAATGACGATGCATCACCAATAATTAATATTCGCCGAAGTTGTTTTCTATATCCCTTCAAAACAAATGTTTCTGTTTTTCTACATAGTGTAGATAAAGGTAAACCTATAGATCATAATTATTATTTTAGAAATCGTCTCAAGTCTTTTGTCAATGAAATATGAAAACAAAGAGAGTCATATAACTCAAATCAGACAAAAAATCGCCGGTAATTGCAAGTATATCATGAATAATGCGACATGGGAAGACACATCAGATGAAAAATATAGTTAAAAAAATATGCATAAAGTAAAATTCATTATACATACTTAATGAATCATAAACATTTTTGACTCGACTAACATGATCAAGTCTTGATGTTCGAATATGATCATTACTTTCTGATGATATACTAATAGAATCATCACTATCTATTGTCATAGTATTCGTATCATTTAATGATTGTTTTGATAATGATAATGGAAGAATACGTTTAAAACGATCGATAAGAGCACGTGGTGAAAAAAATGTTAATGATGATGATGATTTTGTTTTAGCAAGATTTGGTTCACTAATGCCTTTCTTCATAACAGATTTTGTATGTATTAATGAATGATTTATTTTTGTTTTTGGTGTATGAAATGTCACGTCATTTGATGATCTTTTCATTGTTTGTATTTTATTATATTGTTGTACATTATTTTTTTTATCAAATGTTGATAAAGGTATTTGTAATTCTTCATAAATATTTTCATTTGGTAGAAATTTTTTTGTATTATCAAATAATATATTTGATTTACATTCAATATCTATAGAATTTTTATCTAATGGTAAAAGACCACTTGATAATAGAGCACTTGAAACACCAACAGTCAAATCCATACAACTAATCGAACGAGCACCTAAAGATAAAAAATTATTATTTTTATTGAATCATATCTTGAATTATAAGAGATCTGAAGTTCTTTCCTTTCGATTTATTGATAACCGCAGATCACAAACTATTGCGGTTTTCAAATTATCATTTATCCCTCTTGAATTCTGACGTGAATATTACTTGAAAGAATCTCCTCATCTAAGATTCTTTATTGAGTAAGTTCTCTTAGATAAAAACCAATTGTTTGACCTTCTCTAACAAGATATGAAAGTCACGTGTGTCATTATTTGTATTAGCGTATATTTTTTTTCTTTTGAAATTGAATGAATAGTATTTTACATAGAAAAAAAATGTTCAAAATTTACCGAGATCAAATGTAGGTGAATCACTTGTTGATGATGACGAAGATGATGGTAGTTTTTGATCGATAGTTTTTGATATATAATTATTAGAATTTTCATGTTCAAATGTTCGTGGTGGTTTTCTTGGTGGTAATTGTTGAAATAATGGATTTTCAACAATTGGTAATGGACTTTGTTCACGTTGATTAATAGATTTTTGTACAACAATTGGAGTATGAATAGGAGATTGTTGTTGAATTTGAAAACCAATTGAATCAAATTTATGTTTTCGTTTTAAAGAAAATGTTTTATTATAATCATTTATTGTACTATCAGGAAATGAAGTTGTTTGAACAATATATTTAGGTGAAGTTAATGATGAATCTAATTTAGATGAATTATGAATTGTTGGATGACGAATAAGAGATATTGGAGAATGATTTAATTTAGTATTTGAACGACTAATCAATGAAGTACTATCGAATATTTCATCACTTGATAATGAATGATCATTATAACGATCTGTTATAAGTGAATTTCGTTTTGATATAATTGATGGTGATGAATTTGAATCATAACCTGTTGATGAAAGTGATGTTGATGATTGAAATAATTTATTATTATTATTATTATTATTATTATTATTTGTATCATATGTTATTATTGGATCATGTTTTAATATATTACATGTAGTTTTAACAAGAACTGGTTTAGCATGAACAGCTGATGTACGTTGTAAATTTGAAACATATTGACGTGTACTACCCATACGATTTAAATGTGTTGATGTTGATGAAGATTCATAACTATCAGCATAATTTATAGCTGAAGCCATAGCTAATTGACGACGTTGATCAAATGTTAATATGGATTTTTCACGTTCAATAGGAGATATAAATTGTTGAGATAATGATGGTGTATATGAAATTGTGTCTAAAATAAGAGATAGACATTTATGACTTGCTTACACGCATGTGTTACTCAATAAAAATTCGAGAAAAAAAAGAAGAAGAAGAAATGTGATGGATCAGTTGAAATATGTGGAAGCAAAAGAATGACTAATGAAATTTCGATATTGCTTGCCAACCAGATTCGACTCGTGGCCTTTTGGCATTCTCTCTTCTTTTCGTTTTTACTTTTATCTCGAAACATTGGAATGTTTATTCTTTCTTCGTTTTTTTTCGATGTTGATGATGAATCTACCTACTCGAATTTCAAACAAAATGAAGAGAAAAAAATTGATCTTCAATGCTGTCTGTTGTTGTTTTTTCTTTTTATTTTTTTTATCGATCTCTGATGATTTATGAAGACAAAGAGAGAGAGAGAGAGAGAGAGAGAGAGAGAGAGATAAAACAGGTCTCTGACATTCAATCAGATGATTGCATTTGTTTTGTTTTACCTGTATGAAAATGATTTTCATTTGATAACGATGAATTTAATTTCAATAATTGTTCATCTTGTTTTAAAGATGATGATAAACAATTTTCAATTGTTTTATTTATAAGTTTTGTACGAAATATTTGATATTGTTCTTCAATTGATTTCTCATTTTCTATAATAATATCATCGATATTTGTTGTTGTTGTTGTTGTTGTTGTTGTTGTATGTTGCAATTTTTCATCATCAGTAACAGGTAATTTAAGTAAAACATGTGATGGATATAATGATTTCGATTTTTGTTGTCGTTCATGAATTGTTGATAAATTTTTCATTGAACATGATTGTTTATCAAACATTTGTCGAATTTGTTGAAAATGTCCTTTTGGTAAACAACGTATACTTTCACGTATACGTGTACCTGAACGTATGATATCTACATTAGATTCACAATGCTTCTGCATTGTATTCACTATGAAATAAAAAAATATATATATATCAATTCAGCAAAGAATGTATTTTTATCCTTAAGGCTAATTTCTATATGTATACGCATTCAATCATTTCAAATTAAGAAAGAAAAGAATTTAGAATGTTAATTATTAACATTAGGTGCATATATATCACCCTTGGAGGAACTCTCTTGATTAACACCTACTCATGTAGCTGTAAGATATTTGTGTGAAAAAAAAAGCTAAATACTTATTATCATCTCATAAACATTTCTAATCACTTTGAAAGTTCTCATTTTTCATACACACGAAGAAGAAAAAAAAAGCATGAATATTTTTTATTACATAATTATTCATAAATAATCTTTTTTTATATATTTAATAATCGTCGGTAAAGAAAAAAGAAAAGTCAAGCATCCACTTAAGAAAAAAAATTTTTTTACATTAAATCAAGATAATATTCCTATGCTAATTTTGCAATATTAAAAATTTTACTTTTCAATCAGTTCTTTCTTTTTTATTTTGCCTTTCTTATAACAACAAAAAAAAA